CTTATTGTTTCAGTGACTTATTAGCATAAAAAATGTTCCTGTGGCACCTTTCACTGTAGTTGGCCTTTCCATTGGAGGTCAAGTTCTGAGGACACCTCAGGCAGAAAGTGACCAGCCCTTAAAGGGAAGGGACTCTGGTGACCAGCCTCCCACATGAAACTCTTCTGTGGGAGTTTGGCCGGTGATCAGTGCAATGAAGTGAGTGGGGAGCTGGACGATGGTCACAGAAATTTTGAGATGAAGATTTTGTCCAGGCCAGTGTCCTTCTGTGTACTGATACAGAAACTAAGAGCCACGCTAGTGAAGTAATTTAATTTGCCTAGATTCATACTTGTTATGCCTTCTGACATCAAGAACCTTATTCTTTCTACCTTAGTGCCTCCTTTAGAGGCCTTGCTCTGAGAACCATTATGTGCTTTGTGGTTAAAGTCATTAATTTGTAACTTACTCCACCATCTAGTCATGCTGTCATTTGGAAGAACTGCTGATTTTTGTCACTTACTCCAACCAGCAAAACTTTGCCTCTTGCCTTTTATATCATTGCCTGTGCTTCAGTGAGCAGAGGGTGGAGATAACCTGACAGTCTGTTTTACTGCAATTTGGCAGTTTTATTAAGAGTAATTTAAAAACCGGATAGGTATGGTTTTACTTGAACTGTAAGTAGTTTAGGTATTATTTCTTAGAGTTCTTTTTTATCAATTGATAATAAGGAAACTGTTAATGACTATGAAAGTTTCATATCAATTATGAAACATCTCCATATATATATATGGAAAGAGAGATAGAGGGGGAGAGACAGAAATTGTGAGACCCTTCAGTCAATTTTATTTTTATTTTATTTTTTTAAAGATTATGTTTTGAGTGAGAGAGGGTAGGAGGAGGGGGTAAAGGGAGAGAATCATCAAGTAGACTCCTTTGCTGAGCACGGAGCCCAACATGGGGCTGGATCCTACCATCCTGAGATCATGACCTGAGCTGAAACCAAGAGTTGGATGCATAACCAACTGAGCCACCCAGGTGTCCCTACACTTTAGTTTATTTTAAAATAATGACAATGAAAAGCTATTCTTGAATGATATGTGAAAGTGATAGTGCATCTGGAACTTTCCTTTCAAGATAGATTTACAGCTACACTTAACAACATTTTTCTGGACATCTCATCAGAGTATTATTTTATAATATCTTCCCTCCCCCCCACCACCTGGTCCCCACCTTTCTTCACTGTGAGGGGCCATGCTGTTGCCCAAACCAATCCCTATGCTTGTTATCTGGAGAAGGCTCTTTACCTTGTCATTACTTGAGAGGGGTAAAATGAGTGCATCATCACCAGCCTTAGGCCAGCAGGCAGGATTAGTTATTATATTAATGGTAATTAAAGGGAAATTTTTAAGATTTTATTTCTAAAAGTAGCCATTTAATTCATTGATACAAAAGTCAACCTGTCAGTGAATTCAGCACAGCCTGAAGTATTATGAGACCATAATTTAAATCTACAATATAATGCTACATAGACCAACTTTAGCAAGTGAGTTTCATGTTCTCTATTTGTGGAAATCTGGGCACCAATGGAGCTAACACTGGTTAAAATTTTTTTAATAAATTTGATTATTCCTATATGAAACTTAAGGTTTGTGATAATACAGTTTTTAGATCAGCCTATTTAAAGAATACTTTAAATGAAAGGGTGCTTTTTTACTAATTGTATCCCCTCAAACACACAGTATATTATGCTTCATCACTTAATATAAAGGAAGCACTTTTTGAAGTCTTCTTTTCCCCACACCTGGACCTGCACATTAGACTTATCTGGTGTTGGTTTCTTAAGAAGATATATTTTTTTAAGATTTTATTTATTTGATAGAGAGAGATCACAAGTAGAGAGGCAGGCAGAGAAAGAGGGGGAAGCAGGCTCCCTGCTGAGCAGAGAGCCAGATTCAGGGCTCCATCCCAGAACCCTGGGATCATGACCTGAGCGGAAGGCAGAGGCTTAACCCACTGAGCCACCCAGGTGCCCCTGTTTTATTTTTTGTTTTGTTTTGTTTTGTTTTAATTATCAGAAGGTTTTGGGGGAAATGGTTCTTTCCTGTCATAAGTTTTGATACCCAAAATGTAGCTTGAAGAGAATTACTGTTGTCATTTCAGTGCATATTATTAAGTCATACACTACTAAAACACTTTCTCATATGTAAAACTCTGTCCAGATTTTTCTACTTTTCTGCATCACCTCTCAGTGCTTTTCAGTTCTCATAGTGCTCTTATGTTAGCACCACACTCTCTCCAGTATTTTAAGAGCATTAACTCAGAGGAGAAGCATAAATTCATGGTAGAGGTGCTCAGAGCTCTCTTGTGAAGCTTTCGTTGCCAAACAGGTGAAGTTAGCCCTTTCCTCTCATCTTCCTGTCGGTAGTAGCAGCTGCAGGGTCAGCAGTGGTATCACTGCTTCTGCTAATGTCACTGCCACCTCCACCTCCATGGTTACTCAGAGTCAGGGGGAGAAATTCCCCAGGGGAAGAAATGGGTAAATTGGGCTGGGAAGTAGGAAACTATAGCCCCTGCAGTGCTTTCCAGTATGTGTGCTATATATAATTTTATTATTATATAAAAACATATTTTACTATATATATTGTACTATAAATAATATAATGATATGTAAACGTCTTACATACTATAACTATACTGTCTATAAATATATGGCTGTATATACATGTGTTACCACTGTAATATATTTTATAGTATAATATGCAACTGCTGCATATGCCGTCCTCCCCACTAGTGGGTTCTCTGTATTCTGGCTATACGTTTTATCAGGTTTTACCCTCCCAAACATTTTTTTTCAGAAGACTTCTCAAGAATCAGATTTTGATTTTTATTTTTTAAAAGATTATTTATTTATTTATTTGTTTGTTTGAGAGAGAGGAGCAGAGGGAGTGGGAGAAGCAGGCAACCCACTGAGCAGGGAGCCCAACGTGACAACGTGACGTGGGACTTAATCCCAGGACTCTGGGATCTTGAACTGAGCTGAAGACAGACAGATGCTTAACTCACTGAGCCACCGAGCACCCTCCCTCCTCCTTCCCCGCCAAATTAGATTTGTAAAAATCCCAAAACACCCAAGTTGAAGATGGACTTGCATTAAAGAAAGGTCACTATATTTCAGTACTTTAAGGCTGTTTTTTCCTTCAGCGCTTCTTATGACTCAATACAGGGTTTGTTTTTTGTTTTGTTTTGTATTTGACTTTTTAAAAAAATTAATTATTTTTATTAACATGTAATGTATTATTTGCCCCAGGGGTACAGGTCTGTGAATCATCAGGCTTACACATTTCACAGCACTCACCATAGCACATACCCTCCCCAATGTCCGTAACCCAACCACCCTCTCCATATCCCCTCCCCCCAGCAACACTCAGTTTGTTTTGTGAGATTAAGAGTCTCTTATGTTTCAACTCTCTCCTGATCCCATCTTGTTTCATTTTTTCCTTCTCTACCCTCCAAGCCCCCAGCCTGCCTCACAAATTAGTATAGGGATTTTTACTAGAAAGTAAAGTGAAGCTACAGCTAGGATTAAGCCTATGGAATGTAATGCTCACATTCCTAAGGTGATGACCATTTTTACTACAGTAAAGATTTATTTTTTCAAAGTAAATTTTATCAAATATTTACATGCTTTTAACATGTTAATTTTTAATCATGTGCAGTAACATAAATTTGCTCTGAAGAAGGTTTGTATTAATTTTTTTCATTTTATAAATGACCAAAATGAGGCATAGGTAGTGATTTACATGGACTCATAAGCAAGTTAGTAATGTAGATAATGATGAAAAAGAAGTTGAGGTCATTTGTTCTGTTAAGTTATTGTAAGATTATTTTAAATTATGAATGTGCATATGTTTATAGAATGATAAGAATATTAGTACTGCAACCATTAGAATGAAAAGTAGATAAAGTGGGAGTAGGCACTTGGAGAGACAGAAGTTGAATTTTGGAAGCTACAGTGTTTATCAGAGAGCATATGGCTAAAAATGTCTGCATTTACTGAATAGAGACGTATACCCTACATTTTAGAGACAAAGGAAACAAATGATGTTATTTGTGGCCTGCTTTACTTATATTCCACTGATAAATAAGAACTGAGCATCACTACTAATGGAAGACATAAGAAATACAGGACATGGCAATAGAATCTCAAGTTCTTTTGTCTGCTGCTGATGAACAGTTGAAATGTCATTATTGGAAAATTGACCAGTGCTTCCATTACAAACCCTCACACATCCTTCCTTATTTATTACCTTCTAGGTCTCATTTTTGTTCTACTTTCTCTTGTTTTCTACCCTCTTACCCCTCTTCATTTGCATTTATTACATGGATCTAAAGATATAAAATTTTAAGGAAAGTTTCCTTCAATTGTGATATATGATGCTTAGAAAGATACATCCTAAAGCAAGTAGCTGGACTGATTTTACTTAGTGGAGTTCTAACACCACCCCCTTATTTACTTTTTGGGTTCTCCTCTGGTGGCATCATCATCATTGTCATTGTGATCCTGTGAGTCTTTGTGGCATTCACTATTTTAAAAAATGTGTTCAGTATAGTTCTCCTGCTGATTTTTCCCTATTATTTTTTTGTTTGAAAATCCCTTACAACTACGGTGCTATATGAAATGTATGTTAGACTGGTTCCTTATAGCTTGTGTCTTTTGTTTTTTTCTCCCACATGTTAATATTTGGTTTCCCATTAATTTCCTATGCATTTCTTTGTTTCTCTCGTCTTATGAATTTTTATTTTTTTCTTATTTTTCTGCAAAACCAAGACATTCATTAAGAGATGAAAATACTATAGAGTTCCTATGCATTTGATTATTTGTTATCTTTAATGTCAGGAAGATTGCATTTTATTTAGTTGGAATATGTGATTAGCTGTGGATAAATATCTAAATGCCCAGCATAACTGTGTATAAACTAGTTTACTATTGCTGAAGGCTTCTTTCTTAATCTCTCCAGGAAAGAAAGGAGAGGCTATCCAAGTTTGAGTCTATTCGTCATTCAATTGCTGGAATAATTAGGTCTCCAAAATCTGCACTGGGCTCTTCAACAGTAAGTAGAATGAACTCCATGTGCTACTGAAAATAATCATTTTCTAGCTTCTTTCTGATAAACAATGAATATCATGTGTAAATTTGTCCTTAAAACAGAAAACTAAGTACATAATATAATTTTTTTGTATGCATATGACTCTGTTCATACATGTACATAGTAAACACTGATATGAGGAGGAAGGAAATAAACTTGTATTCAGGACTTCCTGTACCACATATAAATAATTATAGGAAACATTTTAGGTATTTTGAGACTTTATTAGAAAAAGAGCAGGGGGGCGCCTGCATGGCTCAGTGGGTTAAAGCCTCTGCCTTCAGCTTAGGTCATGATCCCAGGGTCCTGGGATCAAGCCCCACATCGGGCTCTCTGCTCACAAGAAGCCTGCTTCCCCCTCTCTCTCTGCCTGCCTCTCTGCCTACTTGTGATCTCTGTCTGTCAAATAAATAAATAAATAAATAAATCTTTAAAAAAAAAATCTTTAATAAAAAAAAAGAACAGAGACAAATTTTTTTCCAGTGAAACACATTTTTATAATAGGAACTATTGTATATGTATTTTTAAAGTGTATCAGTTTATATATGTGTTCATATTTTTGAGAACATTTTAATGATTAAATTGAAGTCTATTTGAAATTTAGGTTTGTCATATCACCGTGGTGCATAAAATATTACAAATCCCTGTAGCAACAGCTATAGTCAAGCAAGATAAAGTATATTCTTTTTCCCTTTATAGAATAAAATTTTAAAGTTTTTTTCTTATTTCATTACCTTTAAAACTAAATTAACCGACTTTTTTTTTCCTAGCTATCCCTCATGCATAATAGTTCTTTAGAATTATAATAAATGATTGTCAAAACAACAATATTCAGTACAAATTAATTATGTGCTCTGCTTCCCCATCTTTCCAAGTTTCTACATAGTAATATCTTAATGTTATTTCTTACTGTTTAAAAGTTCAGCTGTTTAAAATAACATGATCTAGTCTTACTTAGAAAACAATGTGTTTCCTAACCATAGATTAGTTAAATGTCCATTCACATTTTGGATTTATTTGCTATAATTCTTTTTTTAATATATAACACATGTTTCTATATTTATTCCACTCAAGCAACACTCTCTTATACACAATTGAGGCAAAGCATAAAGTGTTTTAATTAACAAAAAAGAAGAAAATTATAATTTTATATAAAAGAGGTTTTCTACTTCAGTGTTAGCCTTTGATGCTGCTATTATCACATACTTCTGAACTCCAGAAGTACTCTATGGGAATAGGGAAGAGCTATGAACGAATGTAGACCATTTAACCTGGCATTAAATAGCAAATACAAAGATAAAAATAATTTTAGGCAAATGCTACATGGTAGAGTACATTCCATATCCTAATGTTGTTTTCTTAAGTTAATGATTTATAACTTCAGAGATACATAGTAGTTCTTAAGACTTGGTTTATTATGATTTGACATTCAAAATAAAGTATAGGAGGCTCGATTAGAAATCTATGATATATTCTAGAGACTATGAGGACAGTTTTTGATGACTTATGAGAAAAGAAAAAGAGTTCTCAAAATATTTAAAAAGTTTTTTAAAAAAGAAAAAATAGTTCTTGAAAGGAAAGTTCAAGTGTGTTCTTCAAAAATAAAAAAAATCAGTTTTTAAAAAAATTATTATTATTATTAATTTATGCACATGCGTGTGAGAGAGAGAGAGGAGAGAGAAAGAGAGAGATAGATTGATCTCTTTAGGATAGGCAGCCATGTGTAACTTCATGGTGGGGGGTGGGTGGGAGCAGAGGGAGAAGCAGACTCCCCACTTAGCAGGGAGCCTGACATGGGTCTCAATCCCAGAACCCTGGGATCTTGACCCTAGTGGAAGGTAGATGCTCAACTGACGGAACCACCCCGGTACTCCAAGAAAATCAGTTTGTAAAAAGAAAAGTTCAGATACCTCAGTGAACACTTCATAAAATTATTTATCATTGAAATAAGTCAGCAAAACACATGACATCGTGATGTTGTCATTCACTCACCTTTATTTCACTTAGTCAGAGGTCTTTGTGCCAGCATCTAGTAGCAGTTTATTAGTGAGCTGATTTATGATTTATAATTTATGATTCCCTGCCCAATTTTCCTTTAGTCAACTATTTTACATACGTGAGAGAAGGCCTATTACAAACTCATGGTTATTTTCAGCTTTAGTCTTCGGTGTAAAAATTCGGAGATTGGAATTTAGAGCTCCAGATGTTAGCTTGTGACAGAAAAATAAGAATTGGGAGATAGTAGAAATGGGATAACACTCCCAATGTTTGTTTTCCTGACAACCTGGGATTCCTAAGAATTTTGTGCCTTCCAGACACTTGTCTGGGAGTGCAACAGTGGCTTCTGAGACTTCATGTCACATACGCCACTTTGAAGTTCGTAGTTTTGAGAGCTTCAGCTTTTGGCTCTAATGGAGCCTGTTTTGATAAATCAGGGTTGATGATAGAGGGTGAGCGAGGTTTTTTTCTTTAATGTATATAAAGACACTCTTACATATAGAAACAAAAGAAATCCAGTTAGTTCAATGTGATGAAGTTAAATGTGGTTGCCTATCCTAACATTATAATTTGAACAATCTTAATGAATTAATGGTACAAATCTTAACTTTTAAGATTTGAAGTTATTTTCCATGTTATCTTCTCTATTTAAAAATGGTCTTTACTTTATTCTTAAATAAAATTACCAAATTGACAGTGACTGATACAGGTAAAACTTTGGTATTAACAAACTACTTTTACTGGAGTGAATTGAAGTGCCTTTCCCACAAAGCAGGTACCTTGTTCAAATATATCTTGTGATCTCTTTTTCATAAATTATCAATATCCTGAAAGCTGTGAAATGCCCATTTCTTCTAAGAAATTGTTCACTCTGTAATTGAGAATTCTAGAGAATGTTCACTTCCTCAAGGCCCATTTGGTCTATTAAGATCTTCTAGCTGAAGGAGATCATTACTTCTTTCAGTTAAGTGCTCTTTGATATTTTTTTATTTATTCAGAAATCTCATGAACCAAAAACACTGATGCAGTCTGCAGTTTATGATACTGTTGTTCACTCTGAATAAATACACACAGGTTTTTCTCTAAATCATTAGGTATCCTACTTATTTGGAGAAGGGGTCTCTCTCCTAAACACACAGGTAATTGAGGTCTTGGGTCTTAATATGAATATGGAGGTTTCAGGTGTTAAGTATGATAATTTAAGAAGCATAACAAGTTAGAGACTAGTTAATCATAATTAAATATTTTTTCTGACACAGTATAGAATTTTTTAGAGTATTCTAATTTGGTAAATATAAAAATAGAAATAATTTTTTTATTGCTCTAAACAATTTTTTTTTCTGTAAAAAACTTAAAAAAACCTTATCAAAATGGCATAGTTAAGCATATTTAAAATATTTCTGGTGATATACCTCACATAACATGAAACTCTGTCATTTTAAATTGTACATTTAGTGGTTTCTGGTATACTCACTATGTTGTGCAACCATCTCTACTGTCTGCTTTTGGAACATCTCAATCTCCCTAGTAAGATACTCCAGCCTAGCAGCAATTGGTCTCAATTCCCTCCTTTTCCCATTTTCTGGCAATCACTAATCCACTCTTGATACCTAAGGATTTACCTATTCTGGACATTTCACATAAATAGAATCATATAATATGTGACCTTTTGTGTCTAATTTTTTCCAGTTAGTATAACGTTTTCAGGTTTCATCTGTGTTGTAGCATGTGACGTACTTCATTCCTTTTTATGACTGAATAATGTTCCATTTATGATTTATCACATATTTTTTACCCATTCATTAGCTGATGGCCATTTAAGTTGTTTCCACTTTTTGGCTCTTATGAATAATGCTGCAGTGAACATTGATGTACAAATTTTTATGTGAACATGTATTTTCAGTGCTCTTTGTTACATTGCTGGGTCATGTGGGCATCCTATGTTTAAATTTTTGAGGAACTGCCCAACATTTTCCCCCAGTAGTTGCACTATTTTACATTTCCACTAGCAGTATATGAAGTTCTAATTTCTTTAAATGTCATCAGTGCTTGTTACTTTCTGTTTTTTTTTTTTTAATTATAGTATTACTAGTGGATGTGAAGGGATATATCTTTTATTTGCATATTCCTAATAACTACTGATGTTGAGCATCTTTTCATGTACTTATTAGCCACTTGTATATGTCCTTCACAGATATGACTGTTTCTTTTCTTTGAACATTTTTTAATTGGGTTGCTTTTTAATTCTTGAGTTATAAGAGTTCTTTATATTTTTTGGATACAAGCCCCTTAACAGATATATGCTTTGCACATTTTTTTTCTCATTTTATGGACTGTCTTTTCATTTTCTTGATAATATCATTTGACAAAAGTTTTTGACAAAGTCCAGTTTATCTATTTTTCTTTGATGATACATGCTTTGGGGTGTCATATTTTTAAAAAACATCTAATCCAAGATCATATAAATTTTCACCTTTATTTCCTTCCGAATGTCTTATAGTTTTAGCTTAATACATGTAGGTCTTTGATCCATTATTAGTTGATTTTTGTATATGGTGCACAAGAGAGGTCCAGACCCATTATTTTGTATGTAGAAGTATATTTAATTTAAAATCTTAAAAAAGCAACAACTATGAGATCACTGTTTTTTTATTTAAACGAACATGTAAAAATTGGAACTTTAAAGCACATTTTTAAATAAAATAAGGAAATTAATTGCATTATACATAAGGAAATGAAACTAGAATTAATAGTATTGCCATTGGACTTGTCGTAGCTATTTATTTCAACATTTTTAATAGTGTGGCTAAAATGTAGTGCTTATATGAAGACAGTCCCATGGAATACTTCGATCAACAGTCTTGATGGAAGGAAGAATGTGAGATAATTAGATGATACATGAATTTGTCTTTAATCAATATAGCATTTGATGGTTGATGTTTTAATATTTATTGTTATGATCTGAG